ATTGTCCTCACTCGTCGGCCTTGCAGTCAAAAGCAGGATTTGATACCGAAAGGAATGAGAAGTTGAGCTTTTATTCTAACTCGTGAGTGTACAGGACAAGGCAAGTGAAATCCTAAGCTGCTTCGGAAGGGCGACGCCTAAGTCTCTCCCACTAAAAGAGCCTCCAATGAGCCTCCAATCGCAGGAAGGAAGATGAGATCTTTGATTGGCTTGAGCTCAGGAAATGGAGTGAATCACAGGCGATGAACATGAATCTAATACTGTCGAGTCATGAGGGCATACACCAGATGAAAACAGATCACATTCGAGGGCATGACCCGTTCTGGATCCTCACCACGGTCCGGGCACCCAACCTCGGGGTGCTCGTGTAGCACGGCGGGGTGCCCCGTCGATACGAGGCGGGCGAGAGGTAAGGAGGTGGAGGTGGAGGGTGACTTGGAGGTGGTGGGTGGCTCGAAGGTGGAGGGTGGCTTGGAGGTGGTGGAGGCTCGTGAACTCCCACTGGTTTAAGCACAAAACTTTCGTAGCAGATGGGAACTCGTAACGTCCTGTGGTGACCGGGTGGGGGAGCGTCTTCGAAGCCCACGTTGTCGAAGGAAATGTCCGAGTCCGTGCTCGATTTCGGTCTGGCGTAGGCGTAGTCCGACAGGTTCATCTTCTGGGATGCGGGCTGCAGGTTGTCGACGGTGTAGTGGTTCGTGTCGGTCGTGCGGATTCCGGCCCAGAGGGCGCGCGAGGGGGGGCCTGGGTTCCCGTAGATCACCGATTCCGTCGCGGAGGTCTTCATGCTGTATTTGCTGCAGCTTCCGGTCTCGCCTCTCTCGGAGCCGCATTTTAAGGACAGCCTGCGACGAAAGAAAGCGTGAAAATCTTTTCTCCGAAACGAAACCGATTTTTGTCGGACTCGACTCACTGCCTGTATCGATAGAACAGCAGAGCGAAGACGATCCCGAGGACGGCCCCACCGATGCAACACGCAGTCACGACCACGAACAAAGTGTCTTCCGGCGGGTTCTCTAAAACGACAAAACACGAACGTCACCGAAATCCCAAATCGACTCGAAAAACCCGCGACGGCCACGGATGCGAGACCGGAAATCCCCGACGCAGTGTTGCCAAACCAAAATTCGCACTTCGACCGATCAAGGCTTCACGCGAGGAACCCAACGACGCAAAAGAAACCTCGAAAAAAAAGAATTAAAGTCTTTCCATCCCTATCACGACGGAACGCGAGCACATACGCCCGTTTCCAATCACATCGTCTTATCCTCGACTCTCGGCAAACTTGCAATCCCCTCCGGCGCTTCTCGACGCCGACCGTGTCGCGTCTCCCTTCGATTCTCATTCGTGCGAGCATCGAGCCTGTGCGTTTGGTACGTGCTGCATCGTGTCGACGATCGATCGAAGGCTCGGCATGACGCAAGGTGAGGTCCGAAACTCTCTTAGGCCT